CCTGTTGGACACAAGGTCAAGTATGCAGAATTCGAGAGAGAGAAGGCGTCTAGTGCGCTCCAAGGCTCCAGACACATTTCACAAACAATTAACTACGGCAAATGTAAACACTGCAGGCTTGAAAACGAAGGCCGCGACTATAAAAATGCTCACGCGCTGAACTGAATCAATCAATATCAAGGCATCAAGTCAGTGAGGACAAAATTCAATCAGAGCTGCTCTGCGGTCCTCGCACAAAATGGCTTCGGTTGCAAATGCAGTTCGAGTGCGGAGGGGGAAGAAAGGGGGGGGGGCTTGATCTGGTCAGTGTGGTGGCCAAGTGCATGCCCTTCCTCCAGGATTCCCCCCGGAGCTGGGGCAGATGGGCGTCCCTAAGCTTTTCTGGTGGTGAGACCCTCCTGTTTCTATGCAAGGAGATCTCTGGTCTTGGCGCCGCGCTGGCGGTGCAAACGTGGCCCGGCCACATGGGTGGCAGCAAGCAGGGCTGGGCCATCAGCTGCCTCCCTCCTGATCCCAGCAGCTGGTAAGTCCCCAGGGCGCCCCGGATGAGCTGTGCGTCCCGGACTGGAGCCTGGCCGGGTCTAGTGAGCAGGATGCATCTATCCCTGATTGTGTAAACCGCTGGGATGTGAGAGGCAGAATCCACTCCTGCTGCGAGGGAAGGGCACGTGCCATGGTCCGCAGAGGACTTCCTGAGAACCGGATCGTCGGGGGTGGGATGTCACCAGCCACGGTGGCCTCCAGCGTGCCTGCCTGGCCGCCTTCAGCACCTGCCTTAGCAACGCAGAGCGCCGGCTCTGTACAGATCATTTGTCACTGGAGTGAGATTCATTTAACATAAAATTAAGCACTTTAAAGTGCCCCATTTAGCGGCGTTTGCTACATGCACGACGTGTGCAATGCCACTCCTTTCTAATTCCAAAACATTTTCATCACCTCAAAAGACAACCCCATGCCCACTGTTGTGAGCTAAATATTTGGTCCCGGGCTCCCCGTTGGTGTGGTGAAGCCTAAGACCCACTGGGAGGGTACCAAATGCTGGGGCTCCCAGGAGGGGATTAGGCTGTTGGGTGGAGCCCTCAAGAGTGGGGTCGGTGCCCTTGTAAAAGAGACCCGGAGAGACACGTGCCCCTTCTGCCATCAGAGGACACCACAAAACAATACAGCCTTCGGTGAGGAAAGTGAGGTGCTCACCAGGCGCTGAATCTGCCAGCGCCTTGATCTTGGACTTCCCAGCCTCCAGAACTGTGAGAAAGAGATTTCTGTTGTCTAGAAGCCCCCCGGGTCATGGTATTTTTGTTCCTGTAGCCCGAACAGACTGAGATACCCACAAAGCACTCTCCCTAGCCCCCAGCCCCAGCTCCTGGCGGTCACCGATCCGCTTTCTGCCTCTGGATTAACCCATCGTGGAAATTTCATACAAGTGGAATCATATACTATGTGGTCCTGGTGACTGGCCTCCTTTACTTCGCAGAGTGGTTTGAACTTCACCTATGTGAGCTTTGATGTTAGTATTTCACTCCTTTTTATGGCCGAATAACATTCCCTTGTGTGGCTATACCACATTCTGTTTATCCATTCATATTTTTAAAAAAATTTCATGTTTTATTTATTTTTGAGAGAGACAGTGTGAGTAGGGGAGGGGCAGAGAGAGGGACACACAGAATCCGAAGCAGGGTCCAGGCTCTGAGCTGTCAGCACAGAGCCCGACCCGGGGCTCAAACTTGTGAACCACGAGATCATGACTCAGCCTAAGTTGGAGGCTTAACTGGGCCACCCAGGTGCCCCAGGTCATTCACCTATTGATGAAAACCTGAGTGGTTTCCACTTTCTGGTTACCGTGAATAATGCTGCTAAGAGCGTACACATACTTGCTTGGGTTGGTGTTTCAGTTTTTGGGGGGCTTATATACCAAAGAGTAAAGTTGCTGGGCCATACAGCCACCCTCTGTGTGACCCATTCAGGATCCAAATGAATTTGCCTCCAATGTGCGTTGAGGGGTCTTGAGGCGTCTCCAGGCCTTGCCACTGTGTGTCAACCGGTTTCCAAGCCGCAGATTACAAATTCCTTGGACAGAGACTCAGTGGGCCCATTGGGGGTGGGCCCGGTCTAATCGGCATTATGGGGGGGGCTGGGGATGACAGAGGCGCAGGGCACCTCACGCCCCAGCAGCGTGACAGTCGACACATTCTGTAGGACGGGAAATAAAAAGCAGACGTTTTTATTCCTTCAAGGGACACCCAGGAGCTGCCTGTGGCCTCTAGAATTGTCGGTCTTCGGTTCTCAGGAGCCGGCAGTAATTCTTAAACAGCTGCTTTTATGATTCACAACGTCACCAAATTTTACATGATTGTTTCTAAAATACCACATAAAGTTGTAACATTACTATAATAATCCAGCAGAATGACCATTTTCCAGATCGTTCCAAATGAACAAAGCAAAACACCCAGCAATTTTATGGGAAATGGCTCTCTGCATTGTACATGCCCGTAAATAGGGAACATTAATAATACAACGCCGAGGCCCCACACGGAACACAGGATGAGAGCCGTATCTCATGGCAGCTGGGTGTGATGAATAATTAATTTCTTTGCTGATACCAAAAGGTATACTCTATTACTAAAATACACTGACATTTTCATTCACCACAGACACCCACTGTATGTTGGAATAATAAAGACCAAATTATATCAGAAAAAGCAGGGTTCTCACACATGTCGAAGTGAAAAAAAATACAAGCTGCTGCACACAGTGACTCAGTTGTAATTATTTTTAAACTGCTCTGAATATGTGGTTCTATCGGGAGGTACAATCTCGTTGTTTAAGATGGGAAGGCCTCAGTCATTTGCTTCAGATGCTGAAGGAGAAAAAATTTTAAAAACGTAGTGTTCCTGGACACCCAGCTGGCTCAGTCAGTTGAGCGTCCGACTTCGGTTCAGGTCATGATCTCACGGTTCGTGGGTTCGAGCCCTGCGTCAGGCTCTGTGCTGACAGCTAGCTCAGAGCCTGGAGCCTGCTTCAGATTCTGTATCTCCCTCTCTTTCTGACCCTCCCCTGCTCACGCTGTCTCCCTCTCTCAGAAATAAATTTTAAAAAAATTTAAAAAATTTTAAAAAATTAAAAAAAATAAGCAGTTTGTTTTCACCATAGTAGATAAAAAATTAAAATTGGCTCATAAAAAAATAACAACTATCTTCTGAAAACTCTTCATGTCTTAAAGGTCAACTACATGCATGCAAGGGTGTATCATTTTTTGCAAATAAATATTAAAGAGAAAGATTTCCCCTGGGTGTTATGAACTCTCTATAAAGTATGATTCACAGCATTATATTTATAGGAACCCATAACCTGTTCTGCCCTAACTCTTTGAGTTATTTCCAGTTTTTTCTTTCATTGTAAATATTACGGTCATGACTGTTTTGTGCAAAAATCTTTGAATTTTGAAATTTCTCAGGTTAGATCTCTAAACTCAAAAGGCACAGGCATGTCTCATGCCAAACTGGAGTCAAGGAATGTCAGAACTTTTTATGACCCGATTGACAGTATCAGACAATGTTCACTTCAACAAACTCTCATCATTGTTTGGAATTTTTAATTTAAGTTTTTATATCATGTTATTTAATTTGAGAGAGAGCAGAGGAGAGGGGCAGAGGGAGAGAGTCTTAAGCAGACTGAGCATGGAGCCCACAACTCAGGGCTCAATCCCACCACCCTGGGATCATGACTTGAGCTGAAATCAAGAGTCAGACGCTCAATTGACTTAGCCACCCAGGCGTCCTTGGAATTTTCGACTTCTAAAAACTGCTCGTGGGTGAGTACATAGGATTGTACTTTATTACCATTTATATGATTATTTATAATTGTACATTATTATTAAACCACTTTTCATGGTTATTAATAAAGCTAGGCATTTGTCCAAATATTTATTAGTCACTCATTTATCATAATTTGTGTACATCGTACCTTGCATTTGCTCATTCTATTAAAGTTTGAATGCCTTTTATTCATATGTATGAGAAATTGAAATATTAATGCTATTTCCATTTTTCATATTTATTTGAAATACTTTTTGAAATCAGATGCCTCTGAGTTCTACATATGGTTTGCTTTGACACATACTATTTAAATTTTGATGGATTCCACTATATTTATCACTGTCGTTGAAATAAATGCTAGTGTTCAAACTTGGAAAATCCTGTGAGAGTCACAGAGTTGAGAAATACATTTAACATGTATTTCTAAACTGTTCGCATGTAGACTTTTCAGCATAATATCTCTTTTAACTTGACTGGGATTTGTTTTTCAATGGGTCTGTACTTAACTTGTTCTTTTCACAAATTATTACTCACCATTCGATGAGTGAGAAGGATTCTACTTCTAACCTGATTCATAATTCCTTCTTCTTAAGAGATTACATTTTCTTTTTTTCTTTTTAAGGTTATTTACCTATTTTTGAGAGAGACAGAGAGTGTGAGCCGTGGAGGCGCAGAGAGAGAGAGATAAAGAGGGAGATTCCCAAGTAAGCTCCACACCGTCAGCACAGAGCCTGACGCGGGATTCAAACCCATAAGATGGTGAGATGGTGACCTGAGCCAAAACCAAGAGTCGGAAGCTTAACTGATTGAGCCATCCACATGCCCCTACATTTTCTTATTTTAGTTTTCTTTCTTTTAGTTTATGTCTTTTTTTAGTTTCTTTTTTGAGGGGGAGGGGATAGAGAGAGAGAGGGATAGAGAGAGCGAGCGAGAATCCCATACAAGCTCTACACTGTCCGTGCAAAGCCTGACTCGGGGCTCGAACTCACAATTCGTGAGATCATGACCTGAGTCAAAACCAAGAGTCAGACCCTTAACCTGACAGGACACCTCACGACTGAGCCACCCAGGCGCCACCCCCTGCATTTTCTGATATAGTCGATTTGACCGCGAGCTCTAATGCACTGTGTTGGTGGCTTGCTTGTCTATTATCGAGCTAAGTGTATTCCTGTGCCTTTCCCACAGGTCTGGAGTGGAAGGGGAAAGCAGCCCTTGACCTCGGGGTGCAGCCAGGCCCGCTGCGTTCTTGGGGTTCTTCACGGGAGCACACAGACGTCAGACAGGGCCGCCCTGTGACCCTGCTGAAGCAGGCCCAAGGCCGCTCCATCATCTTGTCTGAACCCAGACAAAAAGATTAGCGCTGTGCCAGTCGCCGAAGTGACAAACGCCCGCCACCCTGGCTAACGGGGGACCCCGGTCTCCCCCGCTCACTGCTCTGGCCTCGCCTGCGCCCGCCGTCCACACACACTTATTGCAACAACCAGTCACACAAACGTCCCCGCTTTCTGCGGACGCTCGGTTCCGAGCGTGCAGCTGGGAGCAGTTCGACGGAACCGAACCAGTAAATGTCGAATCCAGCTGTCAGCTTTGGGTGAATTCAGGCTCTCAAAGAATCCCTCCGGGAGGCGCCCGGTCTTGGGAGATAGATTCTCTGGTTTTTGGGTTTCTGGAGCCCGGCGCCTATTGGCTCCTGTCTGAGGTGTCAGCGCGCCCCCTGCTGGTGAGGAAAGGTTCTGGGCTGCAGCCCCAGGTGGATAGGTCTGGAATCCCCTGGTGGGGTGGGGTGGGGGTCTTTGCCCTCTGCCCTGGTGTTCTGTCGCCTTCTGGAGCTGATGCACTCATGCTGTTGGCTTGTCAGGACCCTGTTTTGTCCACGCCTCCCTCGGCTCTTGAAGAGCTATCGGCACCTCCAAGTCAGCTCTACCCCCTTCCACACGGATGCTGGTGGCATCTCGTTGAGGCCACCGAGGTGGGCCCTTCAGCAGACCTGCTGGCCTGGGCTCTGCGTCCCTAGTAACGGAGAGGCTCGAAGGTGCAGAGCTAGCGAGCTGTCTCCGTTAGGGCCCCTCAGCCTTCTGTGGTATGCTCAACAGCCCTTGTTGGCTCTGGACCCCCAGAGTCCCCCCAAAAGGATCAAAGCCGGGACCCTTCTGCCCTTGATGTCCCCCTTCCCTTATCTGGCACACATTCCCCACTCAGTCAAGTCCGGGAAACGAAGCAGAGCCGCCTCTAAACGTGAGCTGTTCCCACCTGTGGCCTCCCACATTCCCCAGCAGGAAATGGGGTGCTGTCCTTAACTGACCATCCGTGGCCTGACCCTGCCTGGCTGCGGAAAGGGGTGCTAATCCTTTGTCTCAATCAGAGACAAAGCCCATTTTGAAGTTCATGAGCTGAAATTACCTTCTTTTCTTTGGATTTCCTGTTTTCATGTTAATTCCGTCCCTCCTTGCCCGTCTCTCTGAAAGCCAGGCAGACGGGTGTCGCGCTCAGGGACATGGCGCGATGGTCAAGCCAATGTCCCCATAGTAGGGAGGCTCTGCTGCAGGGTCAGGGTGAAGGCCTTTCACCCCGAACATCTCCAAGTGGGAGCAAGTCATTAAATTAGTGGTAAAAGGAAGGGGAGCTGAAAATAGCTGTTTTTCTTCTTCTTCAATATGGAAAGTTGTGTCTTCCTGATCCACCCAAGAGACCTTCTCTCTAAGACTGTTAACCTATGAGCCCTGTAGAAACATGGTAGCCAAGGACCTGGGGGGACTCATGGCAATTAGCTGCCCTTGGCCTACCAGGCACCTCCCCTCCACACTCGTCAGATGTCTCTGAACTTCAGCAGACAGGACTTGCCTGTTGATGGCTTCCCGCCCGCATCCCTCTGCTTCTCAGCCTGCGAGCTTGCCTAGCACAGCGGGCCTTGCTGAGTCCAGGTTCAGAAAGCCCAGTAGCTTTGGGAGACCTAAACCTGCTAGCCTAGGGCCGCCTGGGTGGCTCAGTTAAGTGTCCAACTCTTGATTTCAGCTCAGGTCACGATCTCACGGTTCATGGGTTCAAGCCCTACATTGGGATCTGCACTGGCAGTGTAGAGCCTGCTTGGGATTCTCTTCTCCCTCTCTGTCTGCCCCTCCCCTGATCATGTGCTCTCTCTCTCTCTCTCTTTCAAAATAAATAAATAAACGCGAAAAATAATTTAAAGCCCCTACCATAAACCTTAGACAGCTGGGGATAAATATCCAACTTTCCTTTCCACGGGAGGAGCAGCCCTGAAGGACACTCTGCAGGATGACTCCGCAGGATGATGTAGGTTCCCCGGAGGGAACCCCTACATCAATGCACCCTTTATTGAGCTTCCTTTCTTCTCCGTCTCACCTTCCCCTCTCCCTCCCTCAGACTTCGCAACATGACCTCCTTACTCTTCTGGGTAACCTTTCTTTCTTTCTTTTTTTAAAAGTTATTTATTTATTTTTAAGTAATCTCTACACCCAACGTGGGGCTCGAACTCACAACCCCAAGATCAAGAGTCACATGCTCTTCCGACTGAGCCAGCCAGGTGCTCCCCTGAGGAACCTGAACTCAAGTCTGGGTGACCTGGTCAGTCCTCGGGGAGGATCCCAAACGAAGACGCTAGCTGACAACCTGTAGCTGTCCACATGGGATGAGACACTTGCCTGCAGACCCGAGGGGACACAGGGCAGTGGTTTCTTTTCTTGGGGTAGGGGCCAGGGAGGCTGACTTGGAACCGTGTCTTCCTGAAAAGTCTATGCAGAAGCCAAACACATAAATTAGAAAGTATAGGAGCTCAGTGCAGGAGACCTGGGAGGGGGCACGCTCTCTGCTGCGTCCGCTCCAGTGTCGACCCACCATTTCTAGAGACTCACGCGGACCCACCACTCTGCCTTCTGTGTGTGACCCAGGGGATTGTGTGAGCCTGGCTCGATGTGCTAAGTGCACACTCAGCCGCCTGTCATTCAGGTTGTGATTCTCACTCAGGGCACAAGTGAGACTTTAGGTGGTGAATGGGGTGTGGAAAATCCCCAAAACTGTGTCTTGTGTGTAAGGACATTATAACACAAGGCATTTTTGGGGCGCCTGGGTGGCTCAGTCGGTTAAGCGTCCGACTTTGGCTCAGGTCATGATCTCATGGTTCATGGGCTTGAGCCCCACGTCGGGCTCTGTGCTGACAGCTAGCTCAGAGCCTGGAATCTGTCTTCAGATTCTGTGTCTCCCTCTCTCTCTGACCCTCCCCTCCTCACACTGTCTCTCTCTCTCTTTCTCAGAAATAAATAAAACATTAAAAAATTAAAAAAAAAACACACAAGACATTTTTAAGAACACAGAAAGGTTTAAACCTGCATAAAATATTTTTCTTCTAAATCCTTGGCCTTCACCTCTTTGGAAATAGTCATTTCTCCTTTACTTTATCATTAAATGAAAGGTCTCACTGGGAGATATTCTTGGAATGAAGTCCACCAATCTAGCAGCTTTCACTTATTCCTTTTCTGCTCTTTCGTCTAATTCTGAACTGGGTCCACTCTGACCTTCAGAACCTCCTCTACTTATGTCTCCTTGGCAGGTGAATCTGGTATCTCTGACAGACCAGGGCTGCAAGGTGGCATGAACTCTGCTGTTGGGATGGCTCCTGAGGGAAAGACTTTGGGAAGCTTTATTATCTCTACCTCTACAATCTTGTTTAAACCACTGGCCTTTGTCCCAAAGGAACAATCTGTAAAGAGTTTGAGAATCACGAACTCTTGGAGACCCAGGAGAGGCTTCAGAGGAGTGTCCTAACACCTAACCAAGTGAGGAGGCACACGGGCCCTCAGGACCCATCAGGGAGAACAGTCACGATGCACATTCACAAGCTACTCCCTTTTATTTATTATTATTTTGTTGTTAGCTTTCTTAGAGGAAGGAGCTGTTGTGTGTGGGCAGTGGACAATGGCCACTATTTCCAGCGTGGGGTGGGGGGAATGAGAGACGGTCGTTGGCCGGCAGGGAAGGTATCAAGTCGGTGAGCACAGCACCAGGTCCGGCCACGCCTCACAGTGCGCAGGTCAAGAAGGCATCAAAATGTCCTCTGCAGTTGTCGTGAGGGACAGGGCTTGACCTGTGTCAGAAGGACCCCAGCTCTTGAGCCTCTGACGACAGGCACACGGCCTTGGAAATGGGGTGGCCACGTAAGTGCTTCAGAAGTAGGACATGCTGGGGGCCCCTGGGTGACTCGGTTGGTTGAGGGTCTAACTCTTGATTTTGGCTCAAGTCACGGCTCAGTCTCATGGTTCATGAGATCGAGCCCCACGTTGCTGACAGCACAGAATCTGCTTGGGGATTCTCTCTCCCTTCCTCCCTGCCTGTCCTCTGTTGCGTCTCTCTCTCTCTCTCTCTCTCTCTCAAAATAAATAAATAAACTTACAAACAAGAAGAAGTGGGACACGTGGGTTGGCTGGTCTCGAGAGGAAAACACGAGCTCGCTCCTCTCTCAGTCACCAGCTCTTCCCCAAAGGCAAACAAGCAACATTCCTCTTTGCTCCGAGGCCAGGCGCCAATTGTTTCTTTTCACGGGAGCTGTTCCGGGAGCTCTTAACAATGAGAGACAAATGAAGTGCGGAAGGCAAACCAGGCCCGAACGCAGCAGGCTCCCCTGCTTCCGGGCACTGGTCCTGAGACACGGGGGATGGGTGTGAAGAGAAAATACAGAGGCCCACCAGCACTTGAGGAGCAAATGTGTGTGCTGCACATGTGGGTTGTGTGTGTGGTGTGTATGTTCAGTGAGTGTGTATGCCGTGTGTGTGGTGTGGTCTGTCTGTAGGTTTTGCCTGTGGGGATGTGTGTGCTGTGTGCGGGGGGGTGCTGTGTGTGATGAGGATGTGTGTTAGGTTTTTGTGGTGCAATTTGTCTGTATGTTTTGTGTAGTGTGTGTGTTGGGTGTATATATTATGGTGTGTCTGTAGCCGTGTGTGTGTGTTCAGGGTGGTGTGTATGTGCTGTGATGTGGCTGTAGGGTGTGTGTGTGTGTGTGTGTGTATGTGTGATGTGTGTCTGTGTGATATAGGAGTGTGAAGTGTGTGTATGTGTGATGTGTGTATGCATGTGTCTGTGTGCATGTGTGTGTCTGTATGATGTCCGTGTGTGAGACATGTGTCTGTGTGATGTATGTGTATATGTGTATGTCTGTGTGATGTGTGTGCATGTGTGTGTCTGCGTGTGAGACATGTGTCTGTGTGATGTATGTGTGTATGTGTATGTCTGTGTGATGTGTGTGTCTGTATGATGTGTGAGTCTGTATGATGTGTGTGTCTCTGCAATGTGTGTGTTTGTATGTTTGTGTCTGTGTGATGTCTGTGTGTATGTGTGTCTGTGTGATGTATGTGTGTGAGGTGTGTGTCTGTGTGATGTGTGTGTTTGTATGTTTGTGGCTGTGTGATGTGTGTGTCTGTGTGTGTAACAAGCTTCCGCGATCCCAGAAACTTGGGGGTTCGGGTCTGTTCTCGACAAGATCCCGCTTACAGGGAGGGGACCTGAACACACTGGAGACCAGGGACAGGTGGGACCGACCCGGGGCCCCCGTCGGACAAGAGCCAGACCCCGCTCTGGCTCACCCCCCAGTCCTGAGTCCTGGTTCGAGCCTGACCCCTAGGGAGCAGCCCCGTCTGTGTGCGAGTCCGCGTCCCTGGGACCCTCCCCGTGTCCAGAGTGTGGCATCCCGGACCCCCGACCTCAGCCTCCTCTCAAGCACGCAGGCCTCCTGAACTGCGCCGGGGCGGCCATGCTCCGTCCCGCTCTCATGGGCACAAACTCACCGGCAAAGTCAGGCTCCCCAGCCGCACAGGCCTGAGCGTGGGTCTTGGTCCCACATGGTCCCCCGGGACGGCTCCGCTCCTGGGAAGTGGCGTGTGCCGCGTGGGGTCCTGCCCTCAGCTCTCCGGGGTCGGGTAGGTCACCTGGATCCCGCCGGTCTCGGGGAAGCCTCAGCTCCCAGCCTGGAAGGAGTTGGTGCCACATCCATTTCTGAGAGAACCGTCCTTCCTTCCAGCATGAGGCACAAACTTCCCCCGACCCAGGCGCGCCCTGAGCCTCACCTTCAAGCAAGTTCCCGGAAAGCAGCTGACTTTAGTGTCCGGCCGCAGCCACGGGCTGGTGTCTTGCCTGGCGTCCAGCAAGCTCCTTTCTCCCCCTCCTCATTGGGGGGGTCTCCAAACCTTGACTTGCCGGTGGTGACTATGGTCCAGGGTAAATGTCTTCTCTAGAACCCCAGATGGCCGGAGCCCTCGAGGCGGCCATATCACCACTGCCGGCTCTCTTAACGGGGACAGTTTGCAGGAAACGGTCAGTCCAACCACAAGCCAAGGAAACGGGGAAAGTTTCACCCGGCTGAACGCACAGCGGCTGCCTGGGCAAGGTCTCTGCTCAGGAGATCTTCCTTCATTTGCTCTTCCCTCAAGGCCACCACGCCACTCATCCTGAGCCGGTGATTTTATGGACGCTTCAAAGGAACTATCAGTCTGATGGGGTATGTGGGTGCCCTTTTCCTGATACCTAAAGCTGGTGTCATTGGAATTACCTGTCCCTCTCTGAGAACAAGTTCCCTGCTTTATTTTTTAAGATTTTCCAACTTTGTTTTAAGGGTCTTACTGAGAACTCTCTCTGCCCCGAACCCCTTCTAGAAGTTTTCCTGGAAATTAAACAATTAAAATCAATAGGAAATGCTTTGAAAAATCTCCATTGGCCCTTTCTTCTTTTCTTCGGCCAACCATGCCTGGTATGTCTGGAGAAAGTGGGATATTCTATAGGAATCATTGAAACCAAATTCCATCTCCCCCCACTGGCATTTCGGAAATGAGCAAGGACCTTGCAAGGTCCAGAGCCATTGCTTCAGAATGGCATGGTTTGCCATGGTTTGCTAACCATCCCAAGTATGGACATGCAATGCCTGACCGTTTGCAGTCTCTGGCCCCACCTCGGGTGTGCAGGAAATATGGTTTACTTGATTCTCTAGCTTCATAGTAATTTTTTTTTCATTTGTTTATTTTG